ATATTGAAAGGTACGGCAAACAAATGAAAATAACACCAAGCGCCTTAGATATAAAAATGAAAAATACAAACAGATTTATACACGGCATTTGAAGAAATAGATAAAATATGAGTGTCTGGCAGACACCTCTTTTAGAACTATAAAAATCTATCCGGTAAATTAGGAAGTAGCCCTAACAGTACCCTTTCTTCTACTCAAGTTAGGTGGAAGACTCTCTCCGATTGAAGTTATCAAACTGGATCTCTTGTCTCTAAAAAGAGGAGCTTGCCGAAGTTTTACTGTTCTTAGAAATTACTAATGCCGTTTTCCATTTATAATAAATGCTAATAATATAAAAAATTTGCTATGCATCAATTTTTTTTCTGTAGTATCTATTACTTCTTTTATATTAAAAAAATAAGCTGTACCCATGTGTATATGTTTACATATATATGAAGGAGTCGAAGTTGGAGTCATTAAAATTCCAGGAGTCAGACTCGGAGTCGGTCATTTTCCCTACCGACTCCACAGCCCTGGAAAGTACTGCAGTTTTAATGAATCATTGAAAGTAATTTTTGAATTATGGCCTTGTAATAAGGATTCTTAAAAATATTCTTAGGAAATAACATGTGAGTATTATTGTTATTAGTATATATTGTGTTGTTTACTTTTACATTCACACTTCATGAGCTTGGAGAAATTATAATTGAGAATTTTTGCACAAATCTAAAATCACCAAATATGGTTGGAGGCTTCTATAACAAAGAAGTATCAGTGATTTTTCTTACACATGAGATTCCTGAATGTCATTTTCACAAACCTGCTGACTAGGAAGTAGCAAAGTTAATAACAAGACATTGATTGTCATTGCACTGATGATGGCCAGGATCATACAAGGTGTGGCTATTAATTTTCAAGACTGCTCTAATAACACCAGAACATATGATGTGAAAAACTTAACCTTTTAATATGTTTTGAAGTAATCCCCATAGGTCGTAATACACTTGCATAAGTGCTCGGCTGCATAAGTTGTGAAAACAACTTTTAAAGTCCTTTTTCCAGAAGGCTCTTTAATGTCGACATCATGTTCTTCTTGATGTCTTCAACACCACAAAGCGTGTTGCTTTGATCACAGTTTTGAGTTTAGGAAAAGAAGTCTGCGGGAACCAAGTCGGGAGAGTACGATTGAACATTCCCAAACTCAAAACTGTGATCAAAGAATGTCTTTGTGGATGTTGAAGACATTAAGAAGAATGTGACATTGACATTGATCAGCCTCAAAGGCTTAAAGTTGTTCCACAACTAGACAGCCGAATGCAGAAGTCTATTACAGCAGATGGGGATTACTTCGAAACATATTAAAAGGTTACGTTTTTCACATCATCTGTTCTGGTGTTATTAGAGCAGTCCTGAAAATTTATAGCCACACCTTATATTTTCAGTGCGTCAGTGGTTGTGGAAGGGAAGCAGACACATCCAGGGCAGCAAGCACTTTGCTTTTGTCGCCCCTGTGCAATCTCTACAGATGCCAAATTCTGCTGCCCAGCAGATCCTTAAATTCTAAAAATTTTACCATCCAGAAATTCTGTCACCACTGCCTCTTCTAAATTCTGCCTAAAATTTCGCTATCTCTAATTTTTTTTTTTCCTTAGTTCTAAAATTCTTTTCTAAATTCTAAAATTTTTGCCACCTCTGAGAACTGTAGCCCATGTAACTACATCATTTCTGATGACAAACCTATTGGGGAGGGTTAGTATTCTTCTACCTGTCATAAACAATCAGCAAAACAATGTCTAAATGTCATCTTAATAGATTTAAACTGATCATCCAATATTCAGGATCACGTAAGTTCCAATGATTCTGGATTTTGTATTGAATTTTTGAAAGAGAGCAGAAGTGAATATCAGATTAATAATGGTTTTATAAAAAATTCACCTACATTTTAAAACAAGTCGAATATGATCTTCTCTTTTCAGATGCAAAAAAAAGCAGTTGTCATTAATTAACTACTCTGAATGATCTTAATCTGCACTTGAAAGCATAACTAATAGCATCATTATTTAGTTGTAGACTGGTATCAACACTGGGCAAAATATACCATAATCAAATTACATAAAAGTCTTTAATATTTACACTGTTCAAAAGAGACAAGCGAAGAAATTCCTCTTCCTAGAATGCTTTAAAACGCAGTACAATACTTTGAGCAGAAGATGTATGAAGATACTCAGTGAGAGTTACAAAATACTGAAATGCTTCACATCACTATGAAACAAATCAAACTTTTTATGTTATAATAACAAAAATCATTTTGATAATATAGTAGAACGAATCATCATTTGAAAGTGGTGACCAAGGAGGCAACTTCATACAGCCCACATTAAGCCTGTGTATTTTGGCTTGAAGGTAATAGCATTAAATTTTTCAGTGAAATGTTTATGCTGTGTAAAACATATCACTATTATCAAACAATAATCAAAAGTTGTATTTCAGAATCACTCCTGTTTGTTATAGAATTGAAAATATACAAAAAAATGTACACATTTTAAATGACAGGGAGATTAGAAAGCTCATCACTGAAAGAGAAGGCTCAGGGCACATGCCAAGTTTGTACTTGTGTAAATCAAACTGTGAAAATACTATGTTTTCCTGACTACAGAAGATGGTATAATGACACTCCTGTAGAATTGCTACAAGCAATTATATGGAGCTTAACTGTCTTTGTTGAAACTTCTAAAGAATTCCTCTACAATTATTTTGGAATACATATATCAACTGGATATTATCTTCTGCTGTCATACACAATTACATATTTTCTGAAATATTCTACATATTACTTTCTCTTGAAAATTTATTCTAGCTACGTTTCTATACTGCTATCTGTACTAATATTCTTATTCCACTATTTATACTAGTTGTGTTCATTGTAATTACAAAAAGGGAGGGAAAAAAAAAAAAAAAAAAAAAAAAAAAAAAAAAAAAAACATGTTAAATTCTTCTAGTAACAATTGACTAATATTTAAATCATTTCATACTTGATTTGAAAAACACAATTAAATTTAAATTTAAGTATTTTTGACTTTGCAACAAGAATAACTACACTTTTAAATAAAATGCTAAATTTTGTCTTAGGGATCCTTTAAACTTTCTTTATCAAATGATAAAATATTTACACTCATGGGAAATTCTTGATTATTTAATACTACCCAAATTCTGGCAAAACGATTTGCGATTGGGGGTGGTGGTTTATTTAATTATGGCAAAGCACACTAGGGCTATTTGCCTAAGGGAGAGATGCCTTTGTGGGACTTTCTAAGGAAAACTAGGCTCGTATGCACGTTCAATGAGGAAAACCATGGAAACGCCCATGCAGCCAGCCTGTTCGCAGGATTCGAACCTCGACGAACTACAGGTGTTCCGTAGCTTGGGGGATGAAGCTGGATATTTCCATTCACTTTAAAAGTGGCTGAGAACATGGTAAAAATTAGAGGATTGAACTCCAAAAGCTAGATGATACAAAGCATAGTTATATATCACAGATAAAAAAAAAAAAATATATAATAATATATTATATGTAAGATAAAAAGTATATCGAACTAAAAAACTATAAACTTATCTCCTCTCTATTCTAAATTGTATAACTACTGCATGCGTCATTCAATTAATCATGCAATCTTACGAACGTATACAGAGCTCTTACGACCAATCACCGAATTGAAACCAAAACTTTTCTCTTCGCATGCTTCCATATTCATACGATCGCATTCGCTTTTGCTCTCTACTGTGCAAGAGTAATTTCGCTGGCTTGCTTTCTACCCAACATATCAAAATGTAAATCTTCTGTGAAAGGCCGACTAGGGCCAAGTGATTGTGGCCACAATATCATTGATACAAATGGAATTAAAATCGCTTCTACTGCCAGTTTTATTTACGAAGTCACATATTAGCTTACGATGCAATCAGATTACTTCTTCTTCATATAGGATAACTACGCATTACAGTGTCATAATAAAGCCAAGGAAAAGACGGAACATGTAGAGCACGATTAGACACATACTGAAGAAGATTGATTGCTGTAGTATCTATAATGCTAACTTGGTAATATCTAAGAACTGCAGTCGAAGCAGTTTTAATTCCATTTTTATTTCCAATTGATATTTGTGGCACAATCACTGGCACTCTAGTCGTGCTTTCCACAGAGATTTACAGTTTGATATTGTTAGGATAGAAAGCAAGCAGCAAAATTAATCTTGCACAGTAGAGAGCAAAAGTGAGTGCGTAGTTATGATATGGAAGCATGGAAGAGAAAAGTTTGGTTACAATCAGTGATTGGTCGTCAGAGGCATCAGGTTATTGCGGTTAGTAGATTGATGATTATTTGATGAAGCAGCAGATAAGTATACAATTTAGAATAGAGAGGAATAATTAATGTTATAGTTATATTATAATTCTGATTCATACATTTATATTACATAGATATTCATACATCCTTATAAAAAAGTGGGTTTGCCAGTATGACAGCATCATGTAAAGATATATAGATATTATATAAAAAGATTTTCATACGTAATACAGAAATTAAGTTTCATATGAATTATAGCAAATGTATAAACTTCAACTAGTACCAATCTTTTCTTAAAAAAATTACCATCTTTTTATGGATCATAAATAATGAAAAGATGAAGCTGTATAAATCAACTAAAACTAATAATAGTTTGCAGGTAAATTTTTTTATCTCTTATTACTCACTAAAATTTTTCTAGGAATTAACTAAATAAATTAATTTCCGTACGAAAATTACATCTACTTAATAAAAGCTCAAAATTATGAATAAAATTCGAATTTTTTTTATGAATCATTATTGCCGAGGGTCTAAACTTCAGCATGTTGCTTTTTTCATTACATCTAAGTTAAATTTTACAGTATGTAGCAGGCATAACCGGTGTGTTGAGTAAATCAAATAAAATGCTTGTTTACATTAAGGGAATAAAAATTTGAATAATAATATAACAGTCAATAATTACCGAGACTATGACGCACAACAGCGCATCTGTTAGCCATATCTGTGAGTGTTGATCTAAACATCCACGAACTTTTTAAAATCTAAAATATTTTTTAATAACATGTAAACAAGCATTTACGACCAGAAATGACTCGCGTGTTGCTGTTGCGGATGAATAATTCGCTCATTGTAAACATACAAGGAAAAATTTTGTTTTAAATATCATAATTCGGTTTTAAATACAAAGGAAAAATGACACATCCTTTTTAATTTATTTACCTTATTTCAGTTATTATTTTCTATTGTTATTTGTTTCTAAAACGCGCTCTAAATAAATGTTAAGAGAACTGAAAATAAATTTAAAATTTACCAAACAGTAATTGTTCTTGTTCCTGAATATTTTTCAAGGACTTTAATTACTGTCTGTGCCGATATTTGAATATTTGTGACCGCTTTTTTATTGCAATGAAATAGCAGCGTCAAGTTACTCAACTTAAATGTTATGCACCGGGAGTTTAAAAAACTGCATTTGGTGTTTCAGCGAAGAAGAATGAGATGGTTTTTATTATATTAGAAAACATTTTCAGAAAACAAATAATTTCTAAGATGACTATTGTAAAAGCAAGTTGCTGTTGCTTTAAATTTAATAAATTAAAAATTTTTTTTCTGTCTCATTGAAATGAAAAATGTGTATACCAAATTATTATTGAATTGATTTAAGATGATTTGATGAACAAAATTGATTTAAGAATGTAAAATATCCATTTAATTCATGTTCTGTTTATGTATTATACTCTTTTCATATTTTGCTGGATATAGGAGGCTTTAAATAAACAAATTTCACCAAGTCTGAGGAATGGTTTTAGATGAATGAAAACTTAAAGAATTAAATAAGTTTCAATCAAGTAAAGGCCGTTTCATAATTAAAATTGAATGATTTATATTCAGTTCAATCAAGTAAACGTTAAATTTTTACCAAGACACTTAAAAATTGAATAAATGAAAAGTGTAGCAGTTTTCTGTATTTCAGGGGGAAATATACAGGATTTTGGTAACACTGTTTCTTGTACAAATTAATAAAATGTGTCATAAAAGTGTAATAATTTGGCGGCTGTCTTATGAAGCGTTTGTTATTTCTTAAAAAAAAAATATTCTAGCGATGCTTTTGTTCTTTATTGTATTTGTATTCAATTTCATACGTTACAGGCACAGATAGAAATATGTGGGAATACAGAATTTCATCACTAATCATACAGGCATAGTTCCACCATGCTAATTGGGCATCTTCACTTCAGATTTGATGTGGAACACCCTAGAGACCTAACAAAGTCCTCTAGAGAACTTTCAGCTGCCCAATGTCCCCATGCCATATAGACACTGCATATACACTTGCAAACATCCATATCTTCTCTAAGATTTCCATCTGTGCTTTCTTCACTATCCACTATACCAATCACAGTGGCAGGAGTTGCCTTCATAACATTATCTCAATTATTAAAGTTTTGGGAATGTATTAATGTGTAATATTACAATAGATACTTTCTAATTACCTACACTTCTGGTTTGAAAGTTCAATAAAATTGTCATATTTTTGTTATATTTTCAAATACAGCCAACCTATGCATGTATATACATGGATTTATGTTCTTTATATTTTTTCCCCCATTTTCCTAATGTGTGTGTGATGAGTTTCCATGTGTGTTTTTTAATGTTCTTTTAAATTATAATGAATCACAATGGGACTCTGGAATTTACTAGCTGATGAGGAAAAAGCCTTGCATTTCTTCAGAAATTAGATATTTTGCCCAAAAGCGTAAAATGTGGAAGCTTAGATTCTATGAATTTGTGTTTCCTGAATGACCATTTATTTTTTAATGCAAAACCAAAAGCTGCAAATAGAATGTGGGTCAGAAACAGTTTTAAAGAGAACTGCTTCTCCTTAACAACAGTAATTTGCTGTATGTATTGTGGGGCAAAGGAAAATGTATTAATATTCTGTGAAGAGGAATTGGGATTATCAATCGGAATCATAGGACAGCCAAACAAACAGCTTTTACCAAGTAAAAAAAAAACTGTGACTTTTCATGGGATAGGGATAATAGTAGAAAGTAGCTTATAGTTTAATATTTGTTAAGTGCTACTTGATTTTTATGGCCTGCATTCTCAAAATGGCAGAAAGATTATCGCCAAGTTTAAACCACTGGCATATATGAGTGCTACTTGTGGCTGCAATGTTTTAATATGGCATCAAAAGGCTCATCTTTCCCAGAGGATTTCTGCAACATGTGACTCTAGATGATGTTGAACCATAACCCTTTGGTTTTTGTTTTATCATTTAACAAAGCCCCACAGTCTTTCCAAATTTTGTGTATGAGCACCCATTGTTGGATCAACAAAAATTAATTTGTGATTCGTTATTAAATGGCTGTAACCAGCCTTTTCAAGCTCGTCTATTTTATAGGCTTGCCAACAATCTGAATATACTGTGGATCCTTCTAATGCGTGATCCAAATTGTTGATATCAGTGTGCTTGTATCTCGATTTGGAACCTGAACAACACAGCACTCGCCTCCCTGGATAACCTGTCTAATTTCCACTGTTGTGAAAGTACCTTGCCCGTGCTGTTTTTTCATCACATGAACAAACTTTCCTTTCGATTATTTTTCCAAGGCCGCCTATTAGTCCTTTAGGTTGTCGAAGTAAATATAGCCAACAAACCTCTGTCATAAAATTCTTTCAGTTGTGGTATTCTGACAAATGTTGAGCTGTTTATCACACCACTTAGACAGCACTAGTTTATCTGCCCAACAATAGATGAAATGCAGCACTGTTAGAAATGGTATTCCGGAACCACTATACCATTTGTTGAATTGAATGCTCTTTTTTGTTTACAACTTTTCACATTGCACCTTCACATACTTTTGGTTATGTATAGTTTTATTTCGTGACCATATATGCATAATTGATTACGAGGTAATATATCTTTTTCCTGGAAAAACAGTACGACATCTTCCTCACTCCTGGTAAATTAAAAATTGTCAGTATTTTTTTTACAATGTTTAAACTTAAAAAAGACTACAGTCAAAAGTCTTTAATCCAGAATGATCTATAATTCGGACCTCAAAGCTACGAACCTTCTACGCATGCGTAAACGCATTATGCGTTTACGCATGCGTAGAAGGTGCATTTCTGTGCATGCGTAAACGCATTATGCATTTACGCATGCGCAGAAATGCACATAATACCTTAACGCATGCGCGTTTAAGGTATAATGGACGGTATAAGCTAAAAATTATTAAAGCTAATTATCTATTTCAGTTAATGTTGCAGATTGCGTTGTTCAATCTTCTAATT